ACATACAGACCGGTTCCCACTCACTGGCTGAGCGAGGTGTGGGAGCAACACCGAGGGTTGCGATCCCGTTGCCGGTCCTGGTCCGGTACGGGCGTGACACTGAGGGTTGCGATCCGTTGCCGGACACGAAAAAAAGAGACAAAAAGAAAAAAAAAAAAAAAAAGTATATTTATAGTAACATTCTAAAATTACTAAAAACGAATATTTTAAAAACATAAATTTTTAAAAAACATCTTTAAATCAAATTATGAAATGTTCAGATAACAACCTGAATTGAGGATTACTTCATTTGTACAACCAGAAACAAGATGCTCACATTTAAACCACTTTCTAAATATAATTCACAACTAAACAGTGAGAAAAAACATCTAGCTTTCTGACTAAATAATGTAAACAGGTCACCTGTATCTCCTTCTCCTCCCTCCTAAGGTTCCCCTGAAATGATGAAAAAATAACACTATAACTGCTAAAAGTCAAGAAAGTGTGCCATCAGACATCAAGATTTTTGGAGGAATCCCAGGAAGATAGGAAACAGGAGGAGATCTGAATGAGAGAGAAAATGCAAAGGCAAAAGTAGTCCACATCACCATCAGTGATAGAAAATTCCAGAAACTCCAACCTCCAATTAATAAATGCAAAGAAAAGAAATGAGTCATAGGGTTATTACAAAGTATTATCTATTTAAATAACAGAATTCAGGAAACCAGGGACAGCTAGCAGCTGACCCTGCTCTAGGTTAAACACTCTGAGGAAGGCTCCTAGTGAGATGGTTAGAATTTGAAATAAAGCAGTACATGCTCCAAAACTGGCAGGGAGAGAGGCAAGGAGGAACAAAATACACTGAAGTGTTCCATCCCCAAAGCAAAGTCCTCCTTACTTTAGCAATATGGTACCCAGCCTGCTAGACTGCTCTAGATACACAAACTCCAAAAGAAAGCCTCCTGTCAGCCCACTCCACCTACATGGACAAAACTCAGTCAGCCTTCCTAGTTAACAGAGTGAACTTTAAGATGATAGAGCACCTAACAAGAAGAAAAACCAACACCAGTTTTCTCTACTAGCCATAATAGTCCCTTGTTCATAAATATAAATAGATAATCAAAGACTGACAGACATTTAAGGAAAACAAGGGGCACAGAAGATAAAGACCAGGGTATACGGAAAGAACAACTAATCTTCGAGAAAAGAGATACAGCTGATCCTCATTATTTACAGATTCTGTATTTGTAAACTGGCCCAAAACTTATTTGTAAGCATAAAACCTAACACTTGCAGGCTTTCATGGTCATTTACCACCATGCACAGAGCAGCTCTGCAAAAACAGAGTTTCCTGATGCACACGTTGCCAGCTGATGTGCACGTTGCCAGCTGATGTGAACACAGTGACGCTCATCCTTTACCCTCAGTTCTCATACTGTGAGCAAGGGCCCACTTCACACTCTACTTAGTGCCACACTTTTCCCATTTTGTGCTTTTTGTTGGTGATTTTGCCATTTAAAATGGCCCCGAGCATAGTGTGGAAATCTCTCACGTGTATTCCTCAGCACAAGACTGTGATATGCCTTATGGAGAAAGTATGTGTTCAAAAGCTCTCCTCAGGCATGAGTTATAGAGCTACTGGCCATGAATCCAATGTTAACAAATAGACAATATACGAGGGAACTTCAAAAAGTTTGTGGAAAAATAGAATAAAAAATAATCTTTCCATGTACTTTCTGAAGTACCCTCGTATACTAGATAAGTTGTCCTTAAACAGAAACAAAAAACAAGGTTATGCATTATATTCAGTTGATGAAAATGTTGTAATGGGGCACCTAACACTGTATTCCCTAAGGAGCAATTCAGTATGCAGTATTAGCTAATTCGGTGTCCACATCAACTGTATGAAGAACATGACTACTACAAATTATGAGAACTGATTGTAATTCTGAGAAAAAATGGAAATAAATTTTAATTAGAATCCTCAGGGAAGGGCCGGCCCGGTGGCGCACTGGAGAGTGCACCGCTTGGGAGCGAGGGTTCGGATCCCATGTGGAGACCGGTTCCCGCTCACTGGTTGAGCGCGGTGCAGGTGCAACACCGAGGGTTGCAATCCCGTTGCCGGTCAGTAAAAAAAAAAAAAAAAAAAAAAAAAAAAAAAAAAAAGAATCCTCAGGGAAATATTGTATCCATGTAACAGAAACTGATTTGTATAAAAAAGGAGTAATCAGAGAAGAAGACGACTTCTTAACAATTAAAAATGACTGACATTCACCCCAAAATTCAATGATGGGATAAAATGTATATCTGGAAAACAAGCTGGAGATCTGGGAGACAAAGTAGTAAATCTCCAAACAATTTTAAAGAACTGGGAAGTAAATCTAGGGGGAACAAAAAGGAAAGTAAATCTAGAAATAATCAAATATGAGTTTCAGAAAGACAGAATAGAGATGATAGAAGTTATCAAAGAATCACTGAATATCCCCAATTTGAGACAAGAACCTTCATTTTGAAAGAGACCAGTAAGTGCCAACCAAAACTTATCAAAAAAGATCAACATGTAATCGTATACATCTGGATCTGTTTCAGAATAATCCAGGTTTTGTTTTTTGTTTGTTTGTTGTTTTTTTGGAGGGAGGGCAATGAGGATACTTGTAGAGATGAAACAAGTAACTTGACTTGATAGAAGTGAGTGATGGATGTGTGAGGGGCTGTCCATTGTACTTCTGTTATTTACTTTTGGTGCATCTGAAATTTTCCCTAATAAGAAAAACTTAAAAAAAAAAAACACCAAAAAAGACCATAGAAACATCCTGGTTAAATCTAAATCTAGGAATTTTTCTACCTCAAACCATACAAAGCAATTCCGGAAGGTTTAATTACCTAAATGTGAAAGGCAAAACCAAAAACCTTTCAGAATACACTTGACAGCATCAAGGAAGGGAAAAATCGCTCAAAAAATAAAACACAAAAAGCATGCTAACAACAAAGGAAAGACTGATAAATGGGGCTACATTATAATTCAGTTACATCAACTATCAAAAGCCATCATGGGCCGGCCCGGTGGCGCACTGGATAAGTGCGCCGCTTGGGAAGCGCGGTGGCGCTCCCGCCCGAGGGTTCGGATCCCACATACAGACCGGTTCCCGCTCACTGGCTGAGCGAGGCGCGGGAGCAACACCGAGGGTTGCAATCCCGTTGCCGGTCCCCGGTCCGGTACGGGGGCAACACTGAGGGTTGCGATCTGTTGCCAGACACGGAAAAAGACAAAAGACAAAAAAAAAAAAAGCCATCATAAAAAGTGTCAAAATGACAAACATAAACTAGGAGCATAACAGGGCTGGCCCGTGGCTCACTCGGGAGAGTGCGGTGCTGATAAACTAGGAGCATATACTTGGAACAGAACTCAAAGTAATGAGACAAAATTCTAAAACCTTTCAGAAAGAACAAGCTACCTGCAAAAGAACCAGCATTAGACCAACCTCAGACTTCTCATTAACATAACCCAAAGTTAAAAAGATACAAGAACAATATCTTTGAAGTTAGAACTCAGTCTGTACTTAGAACTCTAAAACTAGCCAAACTATCCATTAAGCCTGGGCTAAAATTAAAACATGTTCAGGTATGCTAGAATTCAAAGTTTGCCATCCATCCCATATGGAAAAAACTTACTTGTAGAGTGTGTCACTGAAATAAAAAAAAGATTAAAGACAACATGATTATTATCACACATTGTACACAGGTACTGATATGTAACACTACCCCACGAATATGAATAATCAGTTATTTTTCAATAAAATAAGAATTAAAAAAGAACATGAAACTTGTGACAGCTAAGTATAAGCCAGAAGTAAAAGAACCAAGAAAGAAAACAGAGCATCTATCAGAAGGTAACATCAAATTATTCTGCATAAACAACAAAGTTTTCATGAAATAGATAATACTTGCACCAACAATGTATATTTACAGATTCTAATAATGTAAATCTGGCTGCTTCTTAATTTTTAGAATCAACTTGTAGTCAGAAGGCAAAAATACTTATATATGTATTACATGTTTACAGAAATGTAACATAAATATCATGAATCTTGCCAGTATGCAAGCAACATCATCAAAATTAGGAAATGGAAGGATCAATGTGAAGTAGAAGCAAAATAAGCTATTTTCTCTTTTTTCAGGAAAAAGGGGGGGTCAATATATATTCTAAAAATTGATAAATCTGTAAGTGGAGATATAAATATATTACTTGAAATTATGATAATTTTCAACATAACTAAAACAACTAGCAACATTACCACAAATATCTATCTAGTAATATCTTGGGAGGTACAAAGTTTTATAAATGCATTATATTCATCTTTCATTTCAATGAGTATGAATACTGTTTAAAGACAACATAGCAAGAACCAGAGGTATAAATAAATCATTTAAAAATATAATAGGATCTGGCCAGTTAGCTCAGTTGGTTAAAGCATGGTACTGATAACACCAAAGTCCAGGGTTCAATCCCTGTACCAGGCAGCCGTAAAATAGAAGAAAATTAAGTAAAATTAAAAGATAAAATTAAATTAAATCAAATTTAATTTTAAAATAAAATAAATAAAATAGAGACCACTAAAAATAGAACTACTACCGACATTTGTTTTGAAAGAGTAAGAGAACTTTTACCTTTCATTTTATATTCTTCTGGATTATTTGAATTTTTTTCTTTCCCAAGTGATACTTATAATTATAATTTTTTTGTTTTTAAAAGATGAC